TAAATATTGCTAAATATAAATTAAAGTTTACTTGGAGTTGCAGGTTTAAGTTTAAGTTAGTTATAAGAATCTTCGTACAGTCAACTAGCAATGCCCTCTTACGCGAATTATTCGTGAGAATTTGAGTAATTTTTCGATGTAGAATTACCCAACTTAATCGCAAAAGAATTATCTTTATGGGGATTCGCAACCTATTACATTTGGCACTTTGGCTTTCTGTCACGTCAAAATGTTTTCTTGTCATGTTTTGGTTTTATACACTGATAAGAACCAAGGTCACGACCAAGTTTTATTTATGCTCTCGTAGCTAACACAATGGCTAAATGAGCAAGAGCAAGATCACGAGCAAGACTTATCAATAAGATTCTCGCAAAAAAAAAATAAAATATGCGTATTTTTTGTATTATCAATATGCAGGGACCCCAAAAGTTCTAATTTTGTGGTATCGGACATTTGTTGAATAATAGTCCAGTCAAATGAGGGAAATGGCTGAAGAGTACGTTATAATGGAGAAAATGATTGAAACACGGGTCATGTTATCGGAAATTTCGTGAGGAACACGCATATGTAAATGATAATTATTTGCCCGGCATGGGGGGGGGGTAGAAAATCCGCAAAAACAATTGCAAATTCGCGAAATATGAAAGACATGGAAAAAAAGTTTCAATAGAAGTTTTTCACAATGCCATTTTGCAAAAAAAAGGTATTGATGACTTTTTTCATATATCTTAGTTGGTTATAAGATACTCAACCTAACATTCGCACAGTCAACTACTTTGCCTCTGAATAAAAAAAATTACTGTCAAAACCGTTTACTACGACATCGTTTAGAATAACATACCGGTTATATTGACCAAAATCATAGGTCCCGGCTTAATTCTGTTAGACCGCCTTATAAAAAACACTGGTTTTTACGACATTGCTTATTACAACATATCCCTTTAAGCAACTACATTTAACTGATATTTTCGGAGAATTGTATTGTAAACATTTGAATAGGTAACAGTATCCACATCTGGTACAGTAAATGACCATTAAGATCGCAAAAATAAACAAAAACGTGTCGAGTTTAGGGTCTAGTGTAATTCTCAGAATATCTGCTACTGAAGCTAAGGAGTTTATTGGTGTAGATAACTTTATTGCAATTTGTGCACCAGCTACGGAAGATGATATTGTACAAGGAGTTCAAGAGGAAAATGACGAACAGGAAGAGACTGAAGAACAATTTACAGTGCCAACTTTGAATGATGGTCTCAATGCTGTCAGTGTATTACGAAAAATTGTTTTTTATTCTAATGAACAGTTTCATATGCAGGGAAATTATGATGATACATTAATTAAAATTAAACGTGAACTACAAAGTCTGTACGCACGACAGAAGTGTTCCAAACAGACTAAAATTCCAGATTTTATTAATATAGAAAAATGATAATTATATGTACGTAATGTCTTTTTATAATAGGTTTTATGTAAAATAAATAAAATTTAGTTTTATTTTACATATGAATATATTAATCACACATTCAATAATAGGTATTAAGTACTTAATAATAACGTTACCGGCTATTACGACTATCGGTTTTTACGACCAAATATGAGTAGTCCCTTGGGTGCCATTATAACAGATTTTGACTGTATTTGTAAAAGTACTAAATAGTAGGTACAATAAATATAAATCCGGACAGTACCACTCGACTACAACACTTAATAAGACACCATATACAATTTTCTTTGCGCTTGATTAAATATTAATTAATAAGAGATGAAAAAAGTTTTAACCCTGTAATATTTAATCGGAGTTACATACATATTCCAGGAAAATAAATTAAAAGAATAAAAACCATTTAGCGTAAAAACCACTTAGTTGTTTTTCTGTTGATAATGACAGCCAATTTTTCCGAGAGTTCTTTAATAAGGATTCCATTAATTTAATTGAATTGTTAATTACACCACTTGCAGTCGTCTGTAAAATCTTCCGTGATGTCATTACGAGTGACAAGTTGATTAAAAAAATGCCGGAAACAGTGGATATTCTTCACAAAAAAAAACGGATCGTTTTCCACTAATATTGTCATTTATATTTTTTGTAATGGATTGCAAAATAACAAATTATAAAGTACTTACCTCCAAACGCTTGGAAAAGTTGACGTTAAACCTACGGAATTCTTCGCCCTCAATGTCTATCATGTCGGAAGGGAAGAATTGCTGGAACAATTAATGGTATTGTTAATAATTACAATTCACAACATAAAAGCTCTAATAATAAAAAATATTGTAGTAAAATTTGTTCTAGTTTTAGGTAAATGCGAAGATTAACTCAAGATAGGAAGGAGTGGAAGTGCGTGTCCAACCAGTCTTACGACTGACGACCTTATGATGATGATGATGAAGGGGTAATAGGGAACCGCATGGGGAGTAAAACAGCATGATTAAGGGGTAAAATTTGTAAGAAAATCCGAAGAAATTGCAATCCGAAGCCGAGCCCTGGGTGTGAATTTGACAACGCATTACGATAATAACTACAGCAGCTACATCTATAAAAAATGTAAACAGTGACGGTTGTAGAACTATTCTGCCAGAGCCGGGCAAACTCGGCTGTTTTGCCTCCTGAGTGCTCCTCAAGGTTAACCAAGTAGCTCCTCATTGATCCTGCGAGTGCGAGTGAGATGATTCTTTCCTTTTCTTATCCCTTCCATTTCGCAGATGAGTCCCCTCTTCCATAGCCAAACCCAATAGTTTTGCGAACGTAGTAACGAAAATTTTCGTAAGTATTTTTTAAGTTGCGAGAGTGGCGTCGCTCTTCTACGGGATGCCTATTAATAACCTATTTTGGAGTTAGCAGTTATGAATTTTATTTGTTTATGAATAAATAAATATTGCTAAATATAAATTAAAGTTTACTTGGAGTTGCAGGTTTAAGTTTAAGTTAGTTATAAGAATCTTCGTACAGTCAACTAGCAATGCCCTCTTACGCGAATTATTCGTGAGAATTTGAGTAATTTTTCGATGTAGAATTACCCAACTTAATCGCAAAAGAATTATCTTTATGGGGATTCGCAACCTATTACATTTGGCACTTTGGCTTTCTGTCACGTCAAAATGTTTTCTTGTCATGTTTTGGTTTTATACACTGATAAGAACCAAGGTCACGACCAAGTTTTATTTATGCTCTCGTAGCTAACACAATGGCTAAATGAGCAAGAGCAAGATCACGAGCAAGACTTATCAATAAGATTCTCGCAAAAAAAAAATAAAATATGCGTATTTTTTGTATTATCAATATGCAGGGACCCCAAAAGTTCTAATTTTGTGGTATCGGACATTTGTTGAATAATAGTCCAGTCAAATGAGGGAAATGGCTGAAGAGTACGTTATAATGGAGAAAATGATTGAAACACGGGTCATGTTATCGGAAATTTCGTGAGGAACACGCATATGTAAATGATAATTATTTGCCCGGCATGGGGGGGGGGTAGAAAATCCGCAAAAACAATTGCAAATTCGCGAAATATGAAAGACATGGAAAAAAAGTTTCAATAGAAGTTTTTCACAATGCCATTTTGCAAAAAAAAGGTATTGATGACTTTTTTCATATATCTTAGTTGGTTATAAGATACTCAACCTAACCTTCGCACAGTCAACTACTTTGCCTCTGAATAAAAAAAATTACTGTCAAAACCGTTTACTACGACATCGTTTAGAATAACATACCGGTTATATTGACCAAAATCATAGGTCCCGGCTTAATTCTGTTAGACCGCCTTATAAAAAACACTGGTTTTTACGACATTGCTTATTACAACATATCCCTTTAACCAACTACATTTAACTGATATTTTCGGAGAATTGTATTGTAAACATTTGAATAGGTAACAGTATCCACATCTGGTACAGTAAATGACCATTAAGATCGCAAAAATAAACAAAAACGTGTCGAGTTTAGGGTCTAGTGTAATTCTCATTGTCAGAATATCTGCTACTGAAGCTAAGGAGTTTATTGGTGCAGATAACTTTATTGCAATTTGTGCACCAGCTACGGAAGATGATATTGTACAAGAAGTTCAAGAGGAAAATGACGAACAGGAAGAGACTGAAGAACAATTTACAGTGCCAACTTTGAATGATGGTCTCAATGCTGTCAGTGTATTACGAAAAATTGTTTTTTATTCTAATGAACAGTTTCATATGCAGGGAAATTATGATGATACATTAATTAAAATTAAACGTGAACTACAAAGTCTGTACGCACGACAGAAGTGTTCCAAACAGACTAAAATTCCAGATTTTATTAATATAGAAAAATGATAATTATATGTACGTAATGTCTTTTTATAATAGGTTTTATGTAAAATAAATAAAATTTAGTTTTATTTTACATATGAATATATTAATCACACATTCAATAATAGGTATTAAGTACTTAATAATAACGTTACCGGCTATTACGACTATCGGTTTTTACGACCAAATATGAGTAGTCCCTTGGGTGCCATTATAACAGATTTTGACTGTATTTGTAAAAGTACTAAATAGTAGGTACAATAAATATAAATCCGGACAGTACCACTCGACTACAACACTTAATAAGACACCATATACAATTTTCTTTGCGCTTGATTAAATATTAATTAATAAGAGATGAAAAAAGTTTTAACCCTGTAATATTTAATCGGAGTTACATACATATTCCAGGAAAATAAATTAAAAGAATAAAAACCATTTAGCGTAAAAACCACTTAGTTGTTTTTCTGTTGATAATGACAGCCAATTTTTCCGAGAGTTCTTTAATAAGGATTCCATTAATTTAATTGAATTGTTAATTACACCACTTGCAGTCGTCTGTAAAATCTTCCGTGATGTCATTACGAGTGACAAGTTGATTAAAAAAATGCCGGAAACAGTGGATATTCTTCACAAAAAAAAACGGATCGTTTTCCACTAATATTGTCATTTATATTTTTTGTAATGGATTGCAAAATAACAAATTATAAAGTACTTACCTCCAAACGCTTGGAAAAGTTGACGTTAAACCTACGGAATTCTTCGCCCTCAATGTCTATCATGTCGGAAGGGAAGAATTGCTGGAACAATTAATGGTATTGTTAATAATTACAATTCACAACATAAAAGCTCTAATAATAAAAAATATTGTAGTAAAATTTGTTCTAGTTTTAGGTAAATGCGAAGATTAACTCAAGATAGGAAGGAGTGGAAGTGCGTGTCCAACCAGTCTTACGACTGACGACCTTATGATGATGATGATGAAGGGGTAATAGGGAACCGCATGGGGAGTAAAACAGCATGATTAAGGGGTAAAATTTGTAAGAAAATCCGAAGAAATTGCAATCCGAAGCCGAGCCCTGGGTGTGAATTTGACAACGCATTACGATAATAACTACAGCAGCTACATCTATAAAAAATGTAAACAGTGACGGTTGTAGAACTATTCTGCCAGAGCCGGGCAAACTCGGCTGTTTTGCCTCCTGAGTGCTCCTCAAGGTTAACCAAGTAGCTCCTCATTGATCCTGCGAGTGCGAGTGAGATGATTCTTTCCTTTTCTTATCCCTTCCATTTCGCAGGTGAGTCCCCTCTTCCATAGCCAAACCCAATAGTTTTGCGAACGTAGTAACGAAAATTTTCGTAAGTATTTTTTAAGTTGCGAGAGTGGCGTCGCTCTTCTACGGGATGAAGGGGCTTGATATGAGAGTGGAAGGGAGAAGAAAAAGACAAAATAAAATTATTCATTACTGCTTACTCTCTCGTACTCATTGAAGGGTATGGAGTGACTCAAACTAACCTCATGTAGCGGCCCCTGCGAAGTTAAAGTTTGCCCGGCTCTGTACTATGCTACTAAACATAATAATTTTCTACGCCCATTGGGATAACAATTAATTAAATAACTACTTTGTTCATGGTTGTTAATGTGCAGTACTACTTCATTCTAGAAATTTAACTTATAAAACATTGAAATCATGTACCCTCCATTTTTTTGAAAACAGATAAATAAAACATTTCTCATTCGACAAAGTTTCGTATTGTCTAAATACTTTGCAAAGTTTAATAAGTCCGAATAAAATGACATCGTCGATCCACTACATTTAATATGTATATAATAAAAATATTTAATATATGGAAATTTCAAAGATATAGGTAATAGGAAGGGTACTTTCGTTAGTAAATCAAAGAGTATGTGGTTTAAAATATAATAAAATAGTTAATAAATGTGTATATAACGTAACTATTACTTACGCTTGATTATTTCGGTCTATAGTTTACTATTTGTGTCTGTAAATTGAAAATTTTATGAAGTACTATCAGCAAAACAAAACCACAATACTTTTCTTTTAGTTAAGGTAATAGTAATAGTAATAGAAGAATAATTTGCATATGTCGTTGACAGTCCGCATTTTCCACTTTATACTAATGAATCGCAAATAGCCCTTACATACATATTCACTATTAATTATAACGCAAAACACCGATTTAATTAAACTATTACATACATGCCCAATCACCCTATATAAGGTTTACTTTTCCGTACCGTAGCGCGCTCTGTTGCTGATAATTCCAAGGAATAAAGTCGTCGTTCAAACATTACAGTTCGCCTTAAAAAGTAGAGCAGTGCTTGCCGTCTAACGTCAACACTATGTTCACAGATGGCGTTCACAACTTCCAGAACATTTAATTTCAAATATCCTTTTTTCACATTAATGTACACAATAGCATAAGCAAACAATAAAAAACAATTGACGTTGTAATGTAAAACTAAACCATTTGTGCGGTACTAAAATATACGTATTACTACGTAAAATAAGTTAATTAAGTAAAATATTGTTTAACTTTGAACCCAGTACTTTTGAAGTTAAAATGAAAAGACGGAAGTTCAAAAAAAAAATTTATAGTTATATAGCGAAAAATAAAAGTAAAAGTCATTTCTCACTTCCATCTACAGCTTACTGAATAAACACCAGAAGCACAAAAAATTATTTAAATGCTTTGATTGTTTAATTTAAGGAAAAAATAAACATAAAACAAAATTAGAAATTTCGAATTTTGATTATAACCGGGAAAAAATAGATAAAATAAATAGCTTTTCATTACTGGTAAACGATTGGAAGTGTTTAAAATACAACAATGGTATCGCGTGGATTAAATTTATGAAAACGCTTTGATTTCGTTTTGTTTACGCAAGGTCTGTTATTTGCGCCAGTTCAATTAATCCTTTCAAACCAATGTTCCCTTAACAGTGGCTGAAAGACATACATGCAACATAAATCAATACAACATGAATTCAGTTGAAGTACTTGTTCTACAAAACGCTAAATGTATTTATAAGATTACCTTTTTGAATTGGTCGTTTTTTTTTGCCTTAAATTTTCCCAGCAAAAGTGGATCAATCTTATACACAGAAATACCCTTTCGAATATATAACAACTTGCATTGAATTTCACCCCTAACGACCCCCTCTTACATACGTGCCTCTTCGTAATTCAAACAAAATATTATTTGTGTCGAGGCTGATTCTCAATAATAATTTTCATCTATTCATCTTATTACGCGTGGCTTCACCAATTGACCTCACCAAATCATATACGGTGAAGGTCAACAATTATAGAGTAAATTACGATAGCATGTCTCATCACAGCAATAACTTTATTTATAATAAGTTCAAACTCCCTTTCGTTATAATAGCTTAATTATTGAAGACTAGCAATGCCCTCTTACGCGAATTACTCATGAGAATTTGCAGTTCGCTCCGGCAACGAAATTGAGTAATTTTCCGATATAGAGTTACCTGACTTAATCCCAAAAGAATTATCTTTATAGGGATTGACATAAAAGACAGTACAAATGTAGGGATAGATATGCAGGGGCAAAAGATTAATATGCTTAGATTTGCTGATGATATAGCAGTATTAGCATCTAGCAAGAAGATAGCTTTAAATAAAATGGAATCGGTACTAACAGATCAGTACTGTATGAAAATAAATAAAAGTAAAACTAAAATACTCGTATGCAAGGGATGGCAAAGTAAGGAAAGAGCGAATATAAAGATAGGAGACGAAAAATTAGATGAAGTGGCTGATTGTAGATATCTACGAAGTCAAATAAGTCAGGACGGAAGGAGTAGTAGGGATATAAAGCAGAGGATAGCGCAGGGTCGTGTCGCCTTCAATAAAAAGAAGTCACTTTTATGCTCGCGAACGGTTAATTTAAAATTCGAAAAAGGTTGTTAAAGGTGTATGTTTGGAGCGCGGCATTGTACGGGTGCGAAACATGTACAGTGGGCGCGGCGGAAAAGAAAAGATTAGAAGCCTTCGAAATGTGGTGTTATAGGCCAATGATGAGGATAACGTGGGTAGAAAAGGTTAGAAATGAATAGGTATTAGAAAGAATACGAGAACAGAGGACTCTATGGATGTCAATAAAAAGTAGGCGAGATAGATTGGTAGATTCTCAGACATGAAAGTCTAGTCAAAAACATATTAGAGGCAGAAACAGGAGTTAGGAGGGATAGAGGTAGATCTAGGTTAGATTACTGTTCGCAAATAGTTAAGGATATGGGTTGTTCTAGTTTTAGGGAAGTGCGAAGATTAGCTAAGGATAGGGAAGAGTGCAGGTACGTGTCTAACCAGTCTTAGGATTGACGACCTTATGATGATGATGATGATGGGGTTTCACAACCTAATATATGGCGAAATTATTCTCGACTCAATTCCGCACATTGGCTTTCTGTCACGTCAAAATTTTTTGTTGTCATGTTTTGGTCTTACACGATTATAAGAACCTAGGTCACGACCACGTCTTATTTATGCTCTCGTAGCCAAGATAATGGCTAAATGATCAAAAGCAAGATCAAGAGCAAGACTTATCAGTAAGATTCTCGCAAAAAAAGTAAAATATGCGTATTTTTTGAATTATCAATATGCAGGGATCGTCAAAAGTTCTAATTTTTGTGATATCAGACATTTGTTAAATATTAATTTTACTGTAAGATGTAGGTACGGAATGTTCCAAAGTTAACTAATTTGGTCGATAAAATGCATTTTTGCAACATTCGCATTACAAATAACGATAATCAAACAAGTCAAAATTTCGCAATGATGTAAATAGAGTTGAAATTGCAAACATACGAAAGGAGCAATAATTTTAATTTTTCTAAACTGTTACCATAAGTTTTGACAAAACCAAGAACCGATCTCGCAAGAGCAAGACCAATACTGTTAGAAAGCAAGACCAAGATCAAGGTTATATTAGTCTTATCTTGCGTTCGCTTATCACTAATTACTAACAGATCAATTGTTATTAAAAATTATACAAACATGTATTAATAACAATCATCTTAGGTGTTACGCTAAGTTTAGTATATCAAGTATGTAATATTTGTTAAACATTATAAACGCCAATTAGCGCAAAATAACGGCAAATTGTATGGTGATTACCGATCTCACCAACTTGCAAAAGGTGCAGTCAGGTTATCATGTGTAATCTGCCCCAGCAGCTTTTTCGATTTGCAGATGGGGAATCGATTTGACATGAAATAAAAATAATTCAGCTAAATTTATAGCTGTTTATCTCAAACGATTTTCGAGATTTTCAAAAAACTCTTTTATTTTTTTTTTTCAATAGTAAAATCCAAGATTAATGAATGTGACACTATGAAAAAAATAAAATAAAAACAAATTTTTCTTACAAAATATATCGGTTGAACGCACAAAAATACAGAAAATAGTTTTTCTGCTGAAAAAGCTCAACTTACAAAAATATTTAAAAAATTAAAAAATGCATTATGCAAGATTAGATTTTCATGTTTCATCATCATCATAAGGTCATCAGTCCTCAAGACTGGTTGGACACGTACCTCCACTCTTTCCTATCCTGAGCTAAACTTCGCATTTCCCTAAAACTAGAACAGCCCACATCCATAACTATTTGCGAAGAGTAATTCTAATCTAGGTCTACCTCTACCCCTCCTAACTCCGTTTCTGCCTCTANTTATCGATTATTTTCTTACAATCAACAATAGATTGTTAAATTTAATAATTGCCCACCTGTGAAGATTAATGAATACCTATTCATTAAAAATTAGTGAAAATAAAAAAACATTTTTAGAGAGGAGATATGTAGATAAGTATATGTATGTTCATTTATATATTAATTAATTGTATAGAGATAAATTTCGTGTTTCATAATGGACGTTACCAATGAGATATCAATGCAAATTAATTTGTTTTAGGAATGGGCCTTTTGCCCCTTTGATATAAATAAATAAATAACTATGAGTCATTAGAAACATTATTTTTGAAATTCCTGAAACAAACTGACTAATAATAATTTATCTGAAGAGATTTCTTAAAATACTTTTCCTTTATTTATTATTTCTTCCAAAATAAACGACCGACTAAAATACATATTTGAATGCAGCTTCTTTAAATATCTAAAAAAAGGCATTGCAAAGAGCAAAGAGCGCGTCAATACGTATTAATGCATTCTAGATTGAATAATTGACAAATTACGTTTACTTCACTAAAAGGTGGTACAATTTGTGTGAATTAATTTCCAGAGCAACGAAATGTCTCAAAAATATTAATTACTTTTGTAGTAAGTAATGGATATATTTTTTATTAACAATTTCTTTTGTGTGAAAAGTAGAGATTAGCAACTCTATTATTCATAAAAAAAGTGTAATACATACTTAGTGTGAATTATCTCCATCCTAACATTATAAATCAATAAAAAATTCTGATTGATTTAAATGATTGTTTAGTATCATTTCACGCTTTAACTATTCAATCAATCATCATGAAATTTTGTACATACATATTATCAGCGGTACAGAAAAGAGGATAGCGGACCTTTCATAAAAGAAATGCTGTTCCCGAGGGATAGAAAAAATTCTTGTCATTTCAATAAAGAAGGATTGTCACTGTTATTCTATGAAAAACATAGAAAATTACAAACTAGTTTCAGGAATATTTATCAAATTATTGTATTTTCGATGAAATTTGACACGTATTTAGGACATAAATGTAGGCGAAACCGTAGGTAAAAGCTTGTTATTCATAAAATATATACTGGTTAATTGAAAACACTTTTTCTCAGTAAAAAAAAAAAAAAAATGATTACAATAAAATATGTATTTCCATTAAGTACTCATTACAAAAGTAAATAGTTAATGTAAATTTCTTGCATTATGCAAACAATTTACGTTACTGATTATAATAATAATGGATAAAATAAATTATTAACATTATCTTATTCGCAACCCCCCAAAAATTTATCCGGAAATTACATTTAGTCACACCAAAATGAGTAAATAAAGAAATCAACATAGGTACTCATGAGAAAATTAGGTAGGTAATGTAATGTAATGTAAAAATTTCAAAAATGTAATTTTATACAGGTAAGATACATATTTTATGTTAATTAATTTATTTCATTTACGTTTAAAACAACTAAGTAAAATGAACAAGCTTTTATAGTACTTATCTGAACACGCAAAGTAAAGAAATTCAATTTGAAAATCGTTGCAAAATAAAATAGAAAGACTTGTAAACAGTCTTAGGAACTAGTTTTTTCAAATTAAAGCGCTAATTATGGAGATGATGATATTATCTATTCACAGCAAGGGCATAAAATAAAACAACAGTACGGATTTGCATATTGAAATAAACACACATATACACAGGTAAGGTAAAATGTTCACCGAACGTATGACATTACATATTTGTTTGTCATACGACCAAAACGCATAAATTGCTGAACGTATAAAATATATTTTTTCAACCACGTCCATTTGAACATATCTCTGAAGAATGTCCTAAACTAATAAAATTCTCAAAATCGTTTGAACAACACGTAACACCCTTTAAATTGTATTCATTAGACTTATATTGACTATGTGACTTACATTTAAAAATCAAAACTATACTTCGTTTAGTTTCTCTAGCGATGTGGCCTTCAGTTTGACCAGCGCAAAGTAGAAAAGAACAACACTAGGCCAGAAAAGAAAGGAGACAACTCTCGGCCAAACTCTTAACCGGTAAGGAACGTATAATCCGTACAGTACTGCACGGAAAAAATGACCATTTTATCCACTAAAATTACAATGCTCAAATGTGCTGTTATTGGTATCAATTACTACTGAAAATATCAACGAGATGTTTATTTATATTTGAAGACATATTAAAGACTTTAACGCTTGTTTTCGACTCGCACTACTATTCATGGTTGAACAAAACTTTTGGCAGGTACTGTATGAAAAAGTATGTTTAATGAACAAGAGTCGAGAGTATAATGAGCTTTTTTCTCCCTACCTATGATTTTGCCAGCGCGCATCCAAGACATTGAAAGGGGCACATCGCTATAGAAAGTAAACGAAGTATGAGATATGTAATAATAAAAAAACTCACCTGTGGATTGTGGAAAAATTCGTATTTCCTAAAGTCTTTTCTAAACATGAACCTAACTTTGGCGTGTCTAGAATACATTTGTATATCTCTATGGGCCGACAAAACATACTCGTGATCTTCCACTGTTCTTTCTGAAACAAAAGAAAAACTCACAGAAATCATTTTCAATTTTGTCTCTATTTAATCTAACATTTACCTGCATAAAAGACATTTTTAATACAATACAATTCAATACTGCAGTTACATTTCACAAAATACAGACAACTTCTTTTAAATTATATAAGCTGCAATTAATGTGCAAGGACATTTTCGCAAAATGGATCAAGGATAGCGAGGCACGCAAGCAGTAGAGCCCTTTATTTTCGTATTTAGTAGTCGTCCTGCAGTCAGTCAGTCATACAAGGACATGTGTACGAAACAAGAGCGAGTTTCATTTCACGCTTAACTGAACGGAAAACATTTTGATCGAAAATAAATAAGTTTTTATAATAGATCCTTGTTTTCGTTTTTTATATTTTAAACAATACTGTAGAAGAAATAATGTGCTGTCTGCTATCGATTTCAAGACAGTCGAACTTATCAATCAATTAAACCAATTAAATTAAACAATGAAGTACTGTAAAAACCAACTAACTGGCTGTGTGCGCTGCATATATTACAGTCAAATTAATCTTACAATTCCACGTAAATAATAATTCATGTGTCTAATTGATCAATTAAAACGGTCAAGAGAACATTCGCTTTAAACACGTTCTGTTTATTTGGTTGTACAAAAGCAACTATAATTATTCCATTTACCAGAGTTTGAAAGTCATTTTTAAGTACATAATTACTGTGTATTAGATACTAAAATTTTCGAGGCAACCATTATTGCTTGAAATATTTCTACAATGGGACCACCTCTCCGAGGGAATATGCAAGAACTTGCATGACACTAAACAAGGGATGACAATTAAAAATCAAAAATTAAAAAAAAACCTAACGCAGGATCGAGTCGAGTTCAATAAAAAGAAGTCACTTCTATGCTCGCGAACGGTTAATTTAAAAACTCGAAGAAGGTTGTTAAAGGTGTATGTTTGGAGAGCGGCTCTGTACGGGTGCGAAACATGGACAGTGGACACGGCGGAAAATAAAAGGTTAGAAGCGTTCGAAATGTGGAGTAACCGGCGAATGATGAGGATACCGTGGATAGAGAAGGTAAGAAATGAAGAGGTATTAGAAAAAGTAGGAGAACAGAGGACTCTATGAAAGTTAATAAGAAATAGACGAAATAGGTTAGTAGGACACCTAGAAGTAAACCTAGATTAGATTACTGTTCGCAAATAGTTAAGGATGTGGGCTGTTCTAGTTTTAGGGAAATGCGAAGATTAGCTCAGGATAGGAACGAGTAGAGGTGTGCTTATCCAACCAGTCAAGGACTGTTGATCGTATGATGATGGTGAACCTAACTGAACCCTCTGACTACACTCTAGCCCTTCCACCCATTTCCCGTCTTCCTCTAACCGACGATTGTCACACCCCTTTTATGTTGTCATGGTAAAATTAGCATGCAAATATGGGTATTAACCATCGGATAATTACTTTCAAATTAACAGTGAAAGCAATAAATAAGTCGCGACCCGAGAAACCCGAAAACCGAAAAAATCAAGTTTCCGAGTTGCGGCTTATTTTAGGCTTTCAATGCTACTTCCGAAATCATCACAAGTTTCAGGCCCGGTTTAGATGCCTACTAAAATCTCAATCGATATTACAGCGGTTGTCAGGCCATTACGACTGAGTAATGACACTATTCAGAAAAACAAATCGTCAGCGGTTAATTAGTGGATAATAATGAGTCCAGCTACTTATAGCTGTCTAGGAACTTCCTAACCGATTTTATAAAATTTGCATGCGTACATAAATTGATGTTAGCATACGAACTGTTTTTGGGTTGTATTATTTCCTTCCCTGCAAGCCCCAAAACCTCCGTTACTCGAAATCTCAACCCTCTATTAGTCGAAATAATCAGTGAGTCCCTACAAGCCATTTCGGTACATATTTTCCCTCTGTAATTCGAAAAATTAAATTGAACCTCTGTATCTCGAAAATAGCAATGTTTTATTTTATAACCTTTACAACTCGATAATTTGAAACTTATTACGTCTATGGTTCGTAGAAAACTAAGTTATCGACTTTAAGAGTTTGCCGACAATGTAAGTACCTACACTAAATCTTAACCACGACAAGTCGAATCAAAAAAGTGGAAAACTCTATAACTCGAATTTTTTGACGTCTCCCTTGATGTTCGAGTTATAGAGGTTCTACTGTATTAGAAAGAATAGAGTCCGGTAGTCACTAAAAAATAGGCGAGATAGGTTGGTAGGACACCTTCTTAGGCATGAAGGTCTAGTCAGAGACATATTAGAGGCAGAAACAGGAGTTAGGAGGGGTAGAGGTAGACCTAGATTAGATTACTATTCGCAAGTAGTTAAGTATGTGGGACGTTCTAGTTTTAGGGAAATGCGAAGATTAGCTCAGGACTGGATGGAGTAGAGGTGCGTGTCCAACCAGTCTTAGGACTGACGGCCTTATGATGATGATGACTTAATAAGTTATTATTGCTAGTATTTTCTTTACTCTCTGGTAGAATTATCCGGCACCTGCCGCCATTACCCGGTACCTGGCAGGATCCTAAAAAACCGGTCGTATCCGCCAGGAATCGGATTCAAACCGGGTACCCGGTCCATCTCCAACCTTATATGACTTTTCATATTTAAAAATACTTTAAGATGTCGTTTTCCTTTCAAACGAAAAATAAAAAATGAAACTCATTTACGTTGCTATGCATTAAAAGTACGTCAAGAATAAACATGTTTTTAAGTAATATGCGGCAAATGCTTTTAGAGTTCATTACTGGGTATGCGTAGGTTTTTAGTCTTTTACTATTTTTATCGTTATTACCACAAACAAGAAAGGAGAGTGCGGTAATCGTAGGACGTGTGCACGGGACAAAACAAAAGCCTAATGTGACATTATCGTCAAATCGCCCACCTACCCGAATGCCATTATTACCACCCTAATACTTCCGAAACAAAGACGAAAATAATTTCTCACAAACAATGCGTGACGTTTACAACAAAAGTAGTAATTAATCATTACACAATAAAAGCAGAATTGTTTAAAACAATTTTCAACCATCGAAGAGGGAGCAGAACTACACAAAAACTTTAGCGATGAGGGTGGCATTGAAGGGCTTCTATCAAAAACAAATTGCCTAATGAAGTAAAAAATGATTCAATGGTGATAATTCCGAGTACAAAAAGTAAATTAAAAAAAAGACAAATGCGAGTTTAATTGGCACGCCGAGGGTTCCGTACCTTATCAAGTACGTTATTAAGTAAGTAGTTGATATCATTGTCGATTTCTATTATATTTTAATAATGGAGATTCTTATGTAGTCCAAATCACTGCTCGGCCAATTTTTATTTGACTTGAGAAAATAGATTCTAAATTCGAAAGTATTTTTTGTGCAATTTCTTCGCCGACTCTAAAGCGATTTTAAATATTAATAAGGTACGTATAATTCAGCCAATTACGAATTTATTGTTTTGTGTATTGGGTTGGCCATATTTCAAGGGTGCTTCCATTTAAATTTTAAGACTATATTCCACCTCTAAGGATGGAAAGTTAGAGGATGATTCACGTTTTTAACTTTTTAGTTTAAATTATAGATGTAGGAACGATATTGAAATAGGCTTTTACACATCAGTATATTAACTCTTTCAATCAGCCCAAAAGTTATGAATTGTATTCTTCGGCAATGTGTTTCTTCTTTTCACGGCATCGTAAATTAGAAGAATTCCTTTGATGTCCCAAAAATTTGACGCCATCAACTTATCAGCAGATGGAACGCATTTTATCTTTTTTTGGGGCTGATTGACCAAGCCCGTTCCACTACTTTACAAAACAACGCAAAAACTCCACTAGATTCTATTCAAACTATTACAGCATGATAAGATATATAATAGCGGCTATGGCTATACTCCCACCAACGGAATTATTAGATTAAATTAGAAGTTACACTATAGAGGAACCCTAATTCACATGTATGAAGTGCCATGCAAGCCCAAGGCTTGCGTTAGGATATGGTGAGAGGAGATTCCCCGATTGGTTTCTATGAAATGATATGACCCATGGCCTTCGGTTTGGTTTACGTACGGTTATGGTGGAAAAGGTTTCCCTGATTGACATGTGTGAAATGCTATAGGAGTAAATTATGGTGAGAGAGAATTACCAATTAGCTTAAGTAAAATTGTATGTTCCATGAGCCTAGAAAAGAAAAGAGATGGACCAAGTACCCGGATAATGACGCTGGGTAACCGATAGTGCCGATATAGTTCTTCTATGTTTTATCACCTTGCAGACATTATATTCCCGTTTCAATGGTTTCAACTCAATCCACTTGTTGAAAATCCATCATCATCATAAGGTTGTCAGTCCTAAGACTGGTTGGACACGCATCTCCACTCTTACCTATCCTGAACTAATCTTTGCATATCCCTAAAACTAACAACCCACATCCTTAACTATTTGCGAACAGTAATGTAATCTAGGATTACCTCTACCCCTTCTAACTCCAGTTTCTGTCTTTAATATGTCTCTGACTAGACCTTCATGCCTAAGAAGGTGTCCTACCAACCTATATATATATATTTGCATGCTAATTTTACCATGACAACATGAAAGGGGTGTGACGATCGTCGGTTTGAAGAGGACGGGAAATAGGTGGAAGGGCTAGAGTGTAGTTAGAGGGTTGAGTTAGGTTCATCATCATCATACGGTCGTCAGTCCAAAGACTGGTTCGACTAGCACTTCCACTCGTTCCTGTCCAGAGCTAATATTCGCATTTCCCTAAAACTAGAACAACCCATGTCCTTAATTATTTGCGAACAGTAATCTAATCTAGGTCTACTTCTAGGTGTCCTACTAACCTATTTCGTCTATTTCTTATTGACTTCCATAGAGTCCTCTGTTCTCCTACTTTTTCTAATACCTCTTTATTTCTAACCTGCTCTATCCACGATATCCTCATCATCCGCCTGCAACACCACATTTCGAATGATTCTAACCTTTTCGCACCCGTACAGCGCCGCACTCCAAACCCACACCTTTCACAATCTCTTTCGAATTTCTAAATTAACCGTTAACCAAGCATAGAAGTTACTTCTTTTTATTGAAGCGACACGACCCTGCGCTGTCCCTTTATATCCCTTCTACTACTACTCCTTCCTTCCTGACTTATCGGACTTCCTAGATACCTAAAATCAGTCACTTCTTCTAATGTTTCGTCTCCAATCTTTATATTCGCTCTTTCTCTACTTTTTCTTCCCTTGCATGTCAGTATTTTTGTTTTACTTTTATTTATTATCATTCAATACTATTTTGTCAATACCGCTTCCATTTTATTTAAGCAATCTCTAACTCCTCCTTGCTAGATGCTGATACTGCTATATCATCTGCAATCTGTTGAAAACTCGTCAACCAAAAAAAAAAATTGTATTGGTTCCATGTTTAAGCGACTTTTTGAACTTAATTTAATGGAAAGTTTGTCAGAAGAAAAAGATGAACCATTAACCGTAGTGGTTTTCCCGGGCACTCGATAAAACCTCTAACTGGTGCATCTCTAGAAAAGAGGATTTTCTGATTTACATATCTAAGCGCTACATTTACGTATAACAAAAGTTTGGGATAACTTTTGGCGGGAAAAATTTCTCTGATTGCTAGCGCTATCCAATCGTCTAAAGGACTGATTCAGCTAATTGTTTATTAATTAGTTAAGCGAGCCAGTGGAACCTGTGCATTCACGTTCGTTTGCCTTTACTTGCACGCACTGCATGCTGTTACGGCAGAATTGCACATTAATTGCGACCCTGAAAGGAAACGAAACAAACCTTGCTCGGTTAAAATTAACGAGTTTTCAATGTTCGATTGCTGTTGTTTGTTGTGCTTCCAGGACCAAGCGGCGCGGTCGCTATGGAAGTCAATTTAAAGATTTTGACGAGACGAACGTGGTTTACGACTTCAAACATGTTTCTACGAAAACGTTAACTAACCTTCCGTTCAACGCCATTAACGTTCGTTGTTGCCAAGTCTGCTGGGAGAAGGAATACATGGCCAAAAACGACGAAAAAACATAAACGTATGGCGGCCAGTAAAACGTACGGCAAAGTTTTAAATCAACCAAGCAGTAAAACCTCAACAAAGACAGAGCAATAATTCATGACTGGATTTTATGACCCTTTTTATGACTGAACAATAAAAAATCGCAGGTATGCTATCCTGCAGGTGTGATTTTACCCTTTTCCCAGTTACTTAATCATAGTTTGCAAAAATTACTGGGCACATTTTCGGTACAATTACCCTAATTTGTACCTTCAACCTCTGCTTAATGATGTGATCTAACTCTTGAACACCTACATTTTCTATAATTATAGCTTGTATAAACAATGTTANATATGAAACCCTATGACATTGTTAGTTACTTAATAGAGGATTAATTTGATTTTTTTTTTTCGATTTTTTATTTACCCACTACAAACTACCTAAAATTAATGAGGGAAAAATTGTTGCTGTTGTCACAACCCCGCCGGGAATCGAACCCGGGACCTTTGGCTCTACGCACCAATGTTCTACCACTAAACCCACCATTTCGTTGCACGCACTCATGGAATCTGTTCATGGTATTTTGTATAACATGCCGGAGCATAGCAGGCTCGATTTCGCTTAATTCACTGGGAATATTTTCTTTCAACCCGGCCATATTCCACCGAGTATTTATGTAAACCTTGCTCTTAAGATACCATCACAGGAAAAAGCCCATAGGAGTTAAATCGGGTTATTGTGAAAATCATGTGACACCAAAGCGAGCATCAACATTAGAGAAAACAGCTTACGAAGTTAGTTCACAGCAGCAGAAGAGGCTCCATCTTACTAAAACAACGTCCATAGCCTTGTAGCAGTATGTTCTCGAAGCAGGGGTAGAAAATAACTGGATATCATTTATCGATATGCATCACGAGTAACTGATGGTGTTGTTGCACCTCTCGAATTTAAAAATTCTGTTTACTTATTCACATATCCATTCAAATGGAAATGTGCTTCATCACTCCAAAAAAGACACTATTCAAAGTTCGAAATCTCTCTATAACAGTCTGACAAAAGCTTTCTCGTAAATTGTGGTCATTTTTCATTATTATCTGCACTACTTGGATTTCAGATCAAGCTTCAAATGTATTGATAGCCGAGGATTGCGACAAACGCTAACTTCATTTATTCCATCTCGTAAACGTTTAATATTGTAGTGCATGGGAACAAAACTGCCGCCGAGCCATAAGGTACGATTCTTCTCCTCTGAGATAGCGTAAGCGAGATGAGCACCAGACCAATTCGACATCGCAGTTGGCAAATCCGCATGAAGAATAAATATACTGCAAGGGGTGCATTTAGTATGGAGAGAGGGGCTCTCAATACTCAATCCAACACGTTAAGAGGAGGGGTCGACGAAGTGTGACATTCTATAAGAAGGGAGGGTCCTAAGTTTCGTGACGTCTCATTTGAAAATCTTATACATGTAAGTGTTAAAATGCCAAATTTGAACTATTACCGGAAAACTTAAAAATATTTCCAACTCTATCTGTATCGGCATAAGGTTTAAATTGTTTTGTTGGTGAATTCACACTCTCGCCCTACTAGTGTCATGGCCGGTCGCCTATGAGCCCTTTAACAAATGTATAAATAATTTGGAGGAATGGATTCAAACTCCATGGATTCAAGATGATTGAGTTTGTAGCTTCTATTAATATAATTAATAATTTATAAATTTGTTAATTTTTTCAAATGTTTCATTTAATGTTTATTGTATTACAAAATAATTTAAATGGAAATAAAACAATTTCGGAACTGCTGTTTTAATTTAATAATTTTTTAATGTAAAATTGCAAAATATGTAACGTCACACTAGAGAATGGAAGGGGAAAGGGGTCACACAAATGAGACCAACTGTGATAAGGACGGGGGAGAGGTCAAAAAATCAGGAAATTAGTGTAACGTATAGTTTATAGATGACCCCTATCCAGAAATATCTGTCACAACTCTTCGAAAATTTGCTTTCTCGTTCACCTTCACGGAGAAAAGGAATAATGAAAATTTACCTTAATATTAAAGTGATATTTACAATTTATCCCACTATCCCATTGCTTGGTAAGCGAAAATAATAAAAATTACAATTTGGACCCGAATTTGTAAAAATAAAATCCCAGCAGAAATAAATTTACTAGGTATTTTGGTTGAAATTACAAATTTAATTGTAATAATTAAGAAAGTTGAAATAATTTTTAAAGAAACACGACAAAATTGAGATTATTACAAGTTACCTAATAAATTCTACTGTTTCTACGGGAAATTCAATCATTTACAATCGGTTATTGTAATTTTTGCATTGTCATAAAAATGTAGTGCTCTTCGTGTTTGGATTGTTGTTTTTGTACCACGATAACGAATCTGCTACTCATAAATAAATTTTTAAAACAATCGAATATAAAACGCCCACCCGGAATTTTTAGTGTGGGTACAATTACCTACTGTACCCACATATATGGATATGAATTTTCATCAAGTAACTGTGAATTCCTTTCAAATGGTAAATTTCTCTTACAATATTAAATGATAGGTATTGCAACTTACCTAGACCCAAATCCACCCAATATTCTATGATGCTCCAGTTGGCACTTTTAGCGAGTCTATTTTTCAGGGCCAGCAGCTGACAAAGGTCACTAGAGCACAAACTCTTTTCGACAATAACACTTTGCCAACTACCGTCATCATTATAAGACAGAGCAATAATTCATGACTGGATTTTATGANTTTAAAATTCTAACTCTGCCATGAGATACCCTGTATAATACATTAATTTTATATTTGCAGAAAACACAAAAAGTTCAATGTTTCTTAAAAATATAGGATTTTGGCCACTTTATTTGCTAATTTTAGTTGGAAAAGTAAAGTAAAGCAGTTGGTCATTCGGTTGCGCCCCCCGCCCCCCAAACAGAATAATTCGCTTGGAACCTGATCATCATCAATGTATACCACTTACTACTGGTACTAGTTATAATTTTTAATCTATGAGGTGTTTACCTAGGGCGCCTTCGATGTTTAATACGCCTTTGGTCAAAGCTAGTAAACTGTATCTTGATACATAACCGTTCAACACATACAAAATTGATTTATGACCGCCTGCAAAAAACGCCAATTCAAACAGAACTTACGGTATAGGATATAATATTTAATGATACTTTTGACAGGCAGGCAGACGATTATGTAAGGATTCCGTTCAGACGCGGATTTAATGTCAAGAGCGCTCTAGGCTAGCACCTTATAGACGACCCTCTGGCGGTCATATATTTTACAAAATACTTCTTTTTTTTATTAGGTACTTCCTTATTTTTTTTTTAGGTTTAGAACCTTCCGCGCGCGCTCCTTTTTAACCTTGCGCCCCTAGGCATATGCCTACTTTGCCTTATGGATTTTCTTTTTGAAGTACGAAACCCTAAATATACTATTTGATGTGACACATCTAAAAGCATGATAAACACTCGGTTAAAACGTACGGTCAATACGGAACAACGACAGACGACGCAGTTATTTGAACGTATACACATGATTTTTTGAAGTTTCACGTTGTGAACGCCATCAGCCCAAAATTTCCCACTAATTGTGAGAGGCATTTACGTATAAAAAATATTGTCCAACTGAAACCACTATGCAAAATATTTAACATCAATGATGGTTCAGTAGATGTTTTCTTTTTAGTGTGACGCAGGGTCGGACTGGCCCAGGGTGCAGGGGTGCAAATGCACCCCGGGCCAAATAACTCAAAAAATGTGAAAAAAAAGAGAAATTAAAAAAAAACTTAATAAATTTTTAAAACAAGAGCAAAGACAAAGGCAAATTTCCTCCTAACTTCTTAAATTTATTTAAAAACAAGTGCTGTTAAAATTTGTGCACTTTCCCTTCTAAACCAGGCCATTTGATTACATCGCACCCCGAGTCAAAATCTTCAGTCCGGCTCTGGTGTGACGTACAAATTTTCTTGGATCCGTCCTAATTACACATTCTGGCTACAGCTCTGATTTAATATAAAACAAATTGGTCGAATTTTGACCACACGCGATTTCTAGTGTTTACTAAATGAAAACAAGCTATTTTTAGCCTACATTAGCAGGGTAACTTTTATCCAGCCGTCATTGACAATCATAAGCAGTTAACGTTAGTTGTTACCTTCATAAAAACAAAAGTAATAAGTACATCGACTGTATAAACAATTCCTAAAATACCCAAAAACACATTTCCACTATTTTTAATTCAGGAAACAGGCGTAAACGAAAAATATTTGCAAGGTTATCTATTACTTTACGCAGTAGGCAATTTTATTACATCGACACAAAAATAGATAAGTCGATAATAATTATTATGTATTACACACAAAAGCATAACGATTGCAATTTAGCAACATGTGTGTTATTAAAATGATGAACCAAATACAGATGATGACAAGGACAAGCCTAGTTTGTATAAAATGTTACAACATACAAGAAATTATGTAATTAGTGCTTTTGATTTCATTGTTTTCTTTAAAAAACCTTCATTCAAAAATAGAATTTAGAAAAAATTAAAAATTAGTTCCTTTTCTTGCAAAATAAAATTCATGTGAATCTTGTTCTCCATTTTTGTTGAATGCATATTACTTCTAAAAAAACTAAAGCCGAACTATTACTCACTAACTTTTATTATAATATGTATAAAATAATAAAACAGTAATTTGAATCGACAACTAATTTTTGGAAAGAAAGGAAGAGTAATTAATCCCTTATCCTTATGTTTGTATAAAAAATATTAAATTGATATTAAAATTATTATACCATATGTAATGCTTGCGAATTCGTCTACAATTAATGTAAGTATTCAAGGATTGAACACATTATAAATAAAATCTCACTGACTTAAGTACCTAATTAATTCTTAATTCATACGCTCCTTATTAAATATTCGAAATTTTTTAACGTTTCCTTACAACTTTAAATTTTATCAATGTTCTATATTATGAAAATAGCAATTCTAATAGAGTTGTACCGAATCGCATCAAAATCCGTTCAAAAATTCCGCTTGCAGACATTTATGATTTATTACTGTCTTGAATACACAACAAATTTAATTCATGACTAATTAAAAGGTCAACAAAGTTAATAAACTCAATTTGTTTTACGCCTACCTTATAAACAATTAATTGATAAATAAGTCGCATTTGTCAATGTCTCTTTCCATCATGGTTAAACATATTTCGAAAATGAATATCCACTACGTATTAAGAAAAGTATTAAATTTATTTCCGTTCGAAAATTCGAATTCGGCAATACCCAAAAATTGTGTCTATTAATTTATAATCTGTAATAATTTCATTAATAGAAGAAATGTCATAAAAAATATCAAATTATCGTCGCATTGATATGATTTCTACATATAATCCAAACGCTGGAAAGTGATTTTTTGGTAGATTTTCATGCACCATTCTATAACTTTCGATGTTATTTAATATCGATACACTGACTAGTTTTGTCAGGGTTACAAACCCCAAAAGTGGTCCATCTAACCTAACCCAACCTAACCCCAAAAATGGTCCATTTAGTAAAGAATAATTTAAATCCATGGTCAGTAATTTATTAAAATTGCCATCAGTTTTTAGAGATATGTTTTCAGGAAATCCAAAGACTGACTCCGGATAAGAAGGGGTGAAGACGCGCGTCAACTAGTGAGATTTATTTGAGAATTTACAAATATCATTTTTACAGAAATAAAAAAAGATTCATAATTTCTGTAGAGACCCAAACAAATAAATTTAAGTTAAAAAGTCCTCTGCATCCCAACCACCAGCTACCCATTTCTAAAAGCATAGTCCGGTGGGACTGTCCAGAGTAACTGGTGGGAATGAAACACCTAAAACTTTTATTGCAGCGAGCGGCATGGCCAAGAGGTTTAGACCATTCCTCACCATTCAAGACCACACCGGGCTTTGATCCCAAATCCGTCTTCCTGATCCAAAATTTTCTGTGGTTTCTTTGGATCACTTAGGCAAATGCTCGGGCAGTAATATTCCACAGATAGTCATTCATTCTCTTCCGTCTTTATTTCGTCCGTCTCGTTTTTCCTGAACCACCTGATTCCTAAAAGGAGGCTGAAGAAGGCCTTATGTCTTAACCTCCAGCGTAGTCCAATGGGACTGCCTGCCCATCAGCATCAGTAACTTGTGGGAATTTAACACTCAAAAGTTTTAATTTTTCATAATCAAGCCGTTCAAGCGGTTTAATGAAACCATTGAAGAAAAAACGGACAGACAGACACACGAGTGATCCTATAAGGGTTCAGTTTTTCATCCAGACGTACGGAACCCTATTTCGAGAACCAACTTAGAAAAACGTGTGGTCTCTCATACATTCAAACTTACAAATACAGACTTCTTATTAATTTTCCAGTAAACTATATAGATAAGTAAAGAACTATTTGCAGTAATTTTTTCAAAATTTTCGGTTGACTAGTTTCGGAGATAAGGGAAGAGGGCGGAATAGTCAAAATTTTCATCTATTTTCTTAAATAACTTTAAAAATATTTATTTGAAAATAAAAAAAAATATTTAAGACTAACAGCAAACCATTTCATTTGATATGTCATACGGTAAAGTTTGCAAAACTTTTTTAATTTCCTATTGGTCTATTAGCCATTTGGCTATTGTTTAATTTAAACTGTAAAACGTTTTACAATTTCGCGATGAATTAAAATTTCTCATATAAAATTACCATATTGTGTCTATCTTTACTAAACACAAACCACATACATTCAACTAAATAGTATTGTCCTTGTTT